GAAGATTCGCCCAAAAGGAATTTCTGAACCGGGTAACAGGTCAACGGGACAGTCATAAGGGCGGTGGGGGGGTAGAGTATCAGCTCCCCGCTTGCTGAACACATCTAGAAACTCATGGTAGGCTGCCGGGATTACCTGTTTTTAATTCAGCTTCCCCCTCAGAGCACAGGAGGATTTGGGGGACCCCCGGGCCCGAAGTGCGGCAGTATACCCGACAGTATGGAGAAGGGAACGAAATTACTCCGGTCTCCCAGTCAATTTGGGGGTTATGGGCCCGTAACCATGGGAGCCCCAAAATGACTGGGAAGAGGGGTGAGGCTATAGCATCCAGGCGGAGCAGTTCCTGGTGCTGGCCGGCAATGACAGTGGCGATGGAGGGGGTTTCCTGGTTCACCACCCCTGATTTTATCCGGGAACCGTCAGCCAAATAAATATTGAACCACTTCTGTTTCAATTGGAGAGGAATACCCTGCTGGTGAGCAAAATTAATGTCCAGGAAGCAGCTGCATGCCCCCGAATCAACTATGGCCGATACTTCCACGGTCCTTTCCGGAAGCTGAAAGGAAAGGGGCACCACTAAGTATTGGGATGGACTAACATTGCCAATGGACAAGGAAGAAGAGGTGCACTTACTCAGTTTCTGTGGGCAGGATCGTACCATATGACCAGCTTCGCCACAGTAGAGGCACAGGTTCTGGGATCGTCTGCGCTGATGTTCCTCTGGAGATAGTTTAGGCCGCGCCAGGCCGAGTTGCATAGGTTCAGGGATATCTCCAGGTGGCCGGTTCTGGATGTTTGGCCTAGGTGCTTGACTGGGCCCTTGAAATGGCCCCCAGGGATTTCCATGACCCTGGCCGGACCTCTCAAACCTGCGTTCCCGCAGTCTACGGTCAATCTTAATAGTCAGTGCAATTAAGTCCTCTAAAGTCTCAGGCACCTCCACCCGGGCGAGCTCATCTTTCAGGCCTTCTGATAGGCCTATACGGAACTGATGCAGGAGAGCAAACTCGTTCTAACGTGTGTCCCCCATCCAGCGCCTAAATTCAGACGCGTACTCCTCCGCCGCTCGGCGGCCCTTGCCGGAGCGTGTACAAAGTAGCTTCAGCAGAAGCTGCCCGCTGTGGGTCATCGTATAGGATGGCCATTGCGTCAAAAAAAAAGTCAACCGAGCTAAGGTGAGGGTCATTTTTTCCCCGCAGTCGGTGGGCCCAGTCTTGGGGTTCACCCTGCAGGAGGGAGATGACGAACCCCACCTTCACGGATTCAGTCACAAAGGTTCGTGGTTGCAACTCAAAATAGAGGAGACAGGACTCACGGAATGACCTGAAGCGTGTGCGGTCCCCATGAAACCGTTCTGGTAGGGGTACTCGGGGGTTCGGCCGCCGGGAGTGGGGCGGATGCCCCAGAAACCGGTACAGGGGCTGCTACGGCCGGAGGTGCGGGGACCGGCGGCCTGTGGGGCAGAAACGGATATAGTGCAGGTCTGGAAGTGATTCTCAATCTGCTGACATCTGTCCTGCAGGGCCGATACGGCCTGCGTCAAGTTAGACAGGTGCCTGCAGATCTCCTCAAGCGGCGAGGGCCCTTCTCTAGACTCAGTCATGGCCTTCTGGTACTGTAAGGGACCGCCTGGCGGTACCACTAGCACTCCACTGAATAGGCGTCCCCAGCGCACGGAGTCTAAGTCCCAGGGTGCTTGTTCACCAGGGCCCCTGATGGTGGGGATGGACTTGGAGCCCCTGAGACCAGGTCGTGGCTACTGGGTGCGTCCGTCAGTGGTAGTGGTATGCGCCAAGGGCTCCCATGGGGAAGAGTATGATATGAGGAGGTCAGCAGACCCCACTGCACGGGATGGATGGATGGATGGATGAGCAAGGTCAGACGGGCCGGGTCGGTAACAGAGAGGACGGCAAGGTACAAGGCAGCGGGCATAGAATAAGCGGGTCACACGCCAGGTCAGCAACAGCAGGTCAAATCCAATAGGGGGCATTCAGGAGAGAGGTCAGGCAAAGCAAGGGTCTGGGCAGGGGAAATACAGCAAGGTCAGCTACAATCCGGGTCAGCAACTTACAATACACAGGTTCACGGATACAGGATACAGGTAAGACCAGAAGGCACTCAATGACAGCTCAGGGTCGTTTAAATATCCCGCCCCCTGCGCTGCCATTGGTGCCCAGCGGGCGGCCACGGCTTCTACTGCGCATGCGCGAACCCGAACGCCGCGGCCGGCCCGGACCCAGTGCTCGAGTCCCTGCACAGGGCGGCACACTGCGCCTGCGCCGGGACCATCGCGGCGGGGATCGAGGGGATCCCTGACAATCCTACTACAATTCCCCATGTGAAAAAAGAAAAGAACGTGCTACTACGCATCCAATGCTCATCCCAGGAACAAGGCAGGTGCGTGATCCACAGTTGCGTATCCATTCCAGAATTAAATTAAATCAATCCGCACTACTGCCATTGCACAGGTGCAAAGGTTAACGTGTTTTGGCGTAACAAGCCTTAGTCATAACCCATACAATTCCCCATCCCTATACACAGTTCTACAATAAAAATCCAAAAACAAACATGGCGCTTGATATTCTGCATGGTTCTAGCTAGGCTAGTGTTCTGAAGAGCTTAATACTACTGCAAAGGACTTTGCTCATTTGCTATCACTTCTAGACTTTCGCAGTCTGCTGTAACGGGCCTGTACCTGAGGAGTTCAACCCTGTTACTACTACTACAGCTAAAGGGACTTTAGCTCATACCTAAAATTACTTGCCGCTATATGCTACAAGGAAGACTTCTACATTTCTCAACTGAGAGATAAGCTCAGATGTCCTCATTGTGAATAGCTCTAGTTTTGCAGTATCCTGCTACAATTCCCCATCCCTATCCCCAGTTCTATAATAAAAATCCAAAAATAAACAACCCCTAGACTGGTCATTGAAGACAACGAGTGGAAGTGTGTGTATATATTTGGCTGAAGAAATACACTGTGCCTGGCTGAGAGGCCAAGTAAGGGGAAATCAGGGCAAACATACCTCACTCCCCAACAGCAAGCAGAAGCACTGCTTTTAGGGAAAACCCCCAAAAAGCAGCTTTATCAATTACAACTTAGGCTGACCACAGCCAAAAAGCACTACATTTATACTAGAGACCAGGGGCGGACTGACCATTTGGAAACTCGGGCACTGCCTGAGGGCCCGGGGTCAGTAGGGGGCCCCATGAGATGCCCCTGGTACCTTTTTCATAGGTTTTTTTGAGTTTGGGCAAGGACACAGGGGCCCCATGATCCCCTATTGCCCGAGGGCCCCATGAGTTGTCAGTCCGCCCCTGCTAGGGACACCTCTGCATAGGTCAGGGTCCCTACACATACTTTCTTTCTATCCAGGCTACCCCAAGACATTTGTAAAGTGTTAATTCAGCCTAGAGGTAAACTTAGTAAACTTTCAGACTTAGTTTTAAAAGTTTGCTTTCCTGGAACTGTTTTTACTGCAAAAATAACCAACCATTCACTAGAACATAACATTAACAGCAGAACAATTTGGTGGATTTGAATGCTCTCTTGGTGTATTTCCCAGGTTGTAAGCAGGTATGTCACTTCCTTTCATTGCAGCTTTCAGCTTTTAACTTGTCTGGAAAACTAGAATTTTGTGGATTGAGCTGAGAAGAAATGTTAACAGTGAAATATTTTAAGACACTTACTCATTCTAAATAGGACGTTAGTTTTACATCTGTCAAACAAAGACTTCTTAATGTTGATATTCAGAGCTCCAGGTTTGATACAGCTTATTTAAAAATATGACAAATTGCTCCAATTTTCCAGCTCTCTTGCAGAATGTTCTATTGAGATCACAGAAGTTTTCATTAGTCGCTGACATTGCAAACTATATACTACAACATTCTCAGCACCTGAATTGCTAAAGGTGAATCAAAACTGCAACGGCAGTATTCATTCTCCTTCTCAAGTAAATCCAGCTTGCTTGATTGTGCACCCTACACATTTGCATCTGCATGCAAACCTGGACGGGTTTTAGGTTTTTTTTCCTAGTGGGAGTGCTTGATAAACAAGTAATGAAGATAAGTTTAACCACTTGCCCTCCTGAAGATTTACCCCCCTTATTGACCAGGCCATTTATTGCGTTACTGCGCTGCGTTATTTTAACTGACAATTGCGCAGTCATGCAGTGCTGTACCCAAATTAAATTTACATCTTTCTTTTCCCTACAAATTGAGCTTTCCTTCCGTGGAAAAAATTCAAATTTTGTCATTAATGTAGGGCAAAATGTATTCTGCTACATGTCTTTGCTAAGGAAAAATCTCAATACGTGTAAATTAAATGGTGTAGGTGAAATTTTAGTGTTTACAAATGGCGGTATAGATACTGGAATTTTTTTTTTAACTAGTAATGGCGTCGATCAGCGACTTATAGCGGGACTTCAGCGGGCATTCTGACACTGGGGAGAACTGATTTGGTGTCACTGACATCCCCAGTGACACCAGTACAGTGATCAGTGCTAAAAACAAAAAAAAAAGCACTGACACTGTACTAATGGCACTGGGCAGGAAGGGGTTAACATGAGGGGTGATCAAAGGGTTAACTGTGTGCTGGGAATATTTTACTATGGGGAAGTGTCTGTGTGCTTCACTGTAAGCACACTGCTTTGTGCACAGTCATCCAAAGCAGGGTGCCCAAGCTGCCAGGGAGGATAACTGTTAGTAAACAAAACAGTTATCCCCGTTGGAGATCGTCGGAAATCACCAGGCGTCAGCAAGTAATCACCAGCCGGGACCCAGTGATTGACAGCCGCGTGATTTTGCGTTCCTGTGCTGTCCTGTTGCAGTATATCTGCTATAGGGTGGACGGGAAGCGGTTAAAGTGTAATTTTGCCTTACAAACAAATTGCATACAAGAACAATTTTTTTTTTTGCATAAGAGACATACTATGGGATTTATAAAAAAATTTGCAGTTATTCATCCTGCAAAACTGCATGTATATTCGTTGTGTGTAAATACAGGCAAAATCAAATGTTACTAGGCTATTTGCTCCCCAGGTCAGATGTTTTTCATTCATAAGAATAGTGTGAATCAGGAAAATACCACATTATGTCCTTAAAATGGAGCTGATGATCATATTAAAGCGAAAAACAATTCTTTTTCTTCTAAACAACAAACATGTTATACTTACCTGCTCTGTGCAATGGTTTTGCACAGAGCAGCCCTGATCCTCCTCTTTTCAGGTCCCCCACTGGTGCTCCTGGTCCCCCTTCCCTGTTGAGGGCGACCATAGCAGGCCACTTGCTATGGACGCATTAATGAATGCTTGCTTCTGAGCTGACTCTGTGTCCATTGACACACAGAGTGCAGCTCATCCTTGCCCCTAGCTCCTATTGGCTCCCCTAGCAGGAGCCAATAGTCCTGTTGCCTCTCTATCCAGTGAGGAAAGAGAGAGAAGCAGCTCTCGTGCACAGCGCTGAATTGAGATTGGGCTCAGGTAAGTTTTTGGGAGGAACTGGGGGGGGGGGTGTATGCAGAAGGTATGCATTAAGGTAAAATACCTTCTGCCTTCATAACCACTTTAATTAAGTACTTATTTACCATGATCATTATCTCCAACTAAAAAATTAAAGGGGCGGGAAAGGGACAGTAAGACTAGAAAAGCACTAGATGATGCCGGATGTCCTTCAGCAAAGAAATAAGGCGGACTCTACCTGACTTGACTTGCTGCAGCTTCTAATGCACATTTTGAAAAGCTCACATCATGCAGAGTAACCAATTTCAATACAGGAGATGGGCCTGTATAACTGTGCAAGACTGAACACAAGGCTTCAGTGTTACAATTAGGCTTTAACCACTTCCCTTCAGCTCATGTACATAAACGGCCAGACGGAAGCAGTGAAGGAGCCGGTTTATAAATGTCCTCCTGCATTCCCTGCCTGTGCGGCTCCCTGGGAGCGCGCGGCACCGCGATCCGGTGCTCACTGTGTCAGGAGGACCTCTGTGTGAGGTCCCAATCATATGATCATGGATTGGCCAGTCAGTGATCACATGAATAGTAGTAAGCAAGATGTCATTTTCTGACACTTACTACTAGTGAAATCTGTGAATGATCACAGAGGTCACATGGTACAAGGCTATTCACAACAGCCTTGTACCATGTGACAAGCTGTGACCAATCACAGCTCTCACAGTATTTCTCAATGGCTGCAAGAATGCAGCCAGAGAGAAGGAGAAATGATTGCTTTTACAGCCTTGATGGTGTAAAAGCAATAAGTGTAAAAGAAAAAAAAAAATCATCACCCCCCACAAGTAGTAGTGTTGTAAGCCGTGTACCGGGGTGGGCTCCCCAGGATACAGTGAAGTCATGAACGAGGAAAGCAACCCCAACACCAGCTTTTGCCACAACAGAATTTTACTTAGATGTGGCAAATAAGCACAACCACAAATGCTGGGAACATACAATAAATTTACATACACCCAGCCCAAAGGCTGAGACCCTTGTGCTGCACAGCACGGCGCCTTCTGATGGATGAAGGTAGAAAGTGAAGTAATTTACCTACTGGCGGGCACAACTAAGCTGCCACATCTTTCCTGTTATTACCCTAAAACAGCAGGAATCAGTGTATGGGTGTACGGTATGGGCTAGCCTGCGGTGCAGCACAACAGCTTACAATCTTACACAAATCTACAGTATTCCCTCTCCCATAACTGGTCCTGTAGCATGTGCCTGAGAATTCCTTCTGAGCAAAACACCAGTCTGGCTTGAGTTTGTAGGATTTTATCAGCTCTCCAATGTGAAATGTCACTTTAAGTTGTGGAGTCCTTCCAATAATTAGTAACAGCACTTGTGGTCTGGCACAAACAGAGACCCTAACTAACTAACTATAGGCCTGGACTCAGTCTCAAGGCGCCAACACTGAAATGAGGTGCGTGCACGATCTTACTGACCCGGGTCTGCTTTGCATCCGCTGGTGACTCTGAACAGAACAAATGTCTCTCCAACAAGCATGCGGTCTTGCCGTATATGTTGCTTAGTTCCTCTGCTCTCATCAGCCTTTCTGGCAGCAATCTCATCAGCATTCCTGGCAGCAATCTCCTCAGCTTCCTGGCAGCAATCTCATCAGCTTCCTGGCAGCAATCTCATCAGAATTCCTGGCAGCAATCTCTGGTTACTGAGGGATGCTTTCACACCTGGATGTCAGCAGATTCTCAGCTCACACGACCCCTTATTCACCATGCTCCAAAACATGGGTTCTCTCTCTTCTTCCTGTTCTCTCCAACTCTGTGTGCAAAACCCCACCTCTTCATGAATATACAAATATCTATGCAGTCTGAGGCTGTGTTAGAAAAACAGTGACATCTTGTTTCTAAACCGCATAATGTCAGTCAAAACATTAATTTACTTCCACAAAAACAGTGTTCAAACAATGAGAGCTGTTTCCCCATCTCACAGTGTCACTATGGTGACACTGTACTGCTAGGGTGGCAGTATGTTAAAAAACAAACAAAACAAAAATAATATAAAAAAGTAAAATAAAAATGTAGAAAAAAAAGGTTTTAAAAATTATAATTTTTGGTTATAAACTAATTTGGGTTATTTTTTGTTTTACTAAAAAGATAGCAGAATACATTTTAGCCAAGATTTATGAAGAAAGATTATTTATTTGCAAAATTTTATAAGAAAAATACTTTTTTTTCAAAATGTTTGAACTTTTTCATTTATATAGCAAAAATTAAAAATCCCAGTGGTGAATAAATACCACCAAAATAAATTTTTATCTGTCTCAGAAAAATGCTAAAAATTCATATGGGTACAGTGTCGCATGACCGTGCAATTGTCATTCAAAGTGTGATAGCACTGAAAGCTGAAAATTGGGGGTGAAAGTGTCCGGTCTTGAAGTGGTTAAGAGGATGGGTTTATACCTTTGCCATGTATAACACACTAACGTGATTTATGCATCTGTTTGGCATAAAACAGGGTTGCTTTAAGATGCTTTTCATTTGCAATCCATGTATTTAAAATATAATACATTCAGCCTTTTTATACAAGCAGGTTTTCATACTTTCAAAGACAGTTTCAGATTTTTTTTCTAATTGTGTTAGAGTTCTACAAAGAAAAAGCATTTGCAACCATTTCAGCAGATCATCCCATCCAAATTGTTCCCTTGACCTCCTGCTGTTTTCTTTGCCATCAATGTCATGTCATAAGGTCATTTATGGAAGTGCTTTTTTTTTTCAAATAGGTTTCAATATGATCCATCAGCATAGTCATGTTGGTGGATCATACCATAAAAAAAAAGATCAGTCATGTCCTAGTGCAGATATTCTCACCTTACTGAGAAATATTGTGCTTTAGAAATGCTAACCTGGGCTCATCACCCAAAGTGTAAGGAGCATCAATTATTTCATTGGTTACTGAACCAGAGCACTTCAGATAATAAACTGCAGCAGGTGACAACTTTTGGTGTTGTAAGTTGAAATGTTAAGGTGTGGTTCACATCATTCCCATCTGATATCGACCAGCTACCTCTGCATCCTGTACTAGGACGTGTTGCCAGAGGCAGAGCAGGAAACACCTGGAGCTAATTAGTGTGTAGGCAGCTAACAGCTAGACATGAATGCTAGAAAGTCAAAATAATAAAGACCAGTAGCAGGTGGTGAATGACACATTCACACCTAAAGAGTCTCCTATAGATAATAACTCTCACACATACATATAGAGAACAGCTGGAAGAAAAGAAAATAATGAAGGTCAGGTGCCTCCTTTCAATATATAAAAACGGGAGAAGAACTTAAAGCTGAGCCCCAGTCAGAGACATAATGCACCTATTAATAAAATCAGAAAGAGCTCTTTCACACAGGTGACTGGAAGGAAGTAAAAACAGGCAGCTGAGCTGCATTTTTACTGCTCCCTCGCCACCCAACCCAAATCTGAACATTACAGCCTAATGCAGGCCATACATGGGTCCAAATTCTGAACAAAGTTTCTTTAGAAAATCAGAAATTTTGTGCATTTTGTAATCTGATGGTGCAACCATTGATTTCTAAATTTGACCAACCAAGCCTTTAATTTCACCTCATGTTGCTACAGAAAAGAATTTTCGTGGCCAAGAATTTTCTTTTCTTTCCAGGTCACAGCTCATGCTCATTTCTTTTTCAATTACATTTCCCACACAATTCTTTCATTGTCAAATTAGAAATTCATTTATTTTTCAAAACATTCCAACATGCCCGGTCACTCAAATTCGATGGTCGCTCTCGAAAATCGGACGTTGCTGTGGCCCATTAAAATTCGAACGGAAATTCTTAGAAAAGATTTAGGAGAGAAAATTCTTTTGGAATTTGACCCATGTATGGCTGGAATAATGCAGGCCATGGTAGAATTTCAAACAAATTTTTTTTAGAAAATCAAAATTTTTGTGCATTTTGTAATCTGGTGGTGCCACCATTGATTTCAAAATTTGAACAACCAAGCCTTTAATTTCACCTCATGTTGCTACAGAAAATAAATTTCTTTTCTTTCAAGGTCACAGCTCATGCTCATTTCTTTTTCGATTACAATTCTCACACAATTCTCCCATCATTGATTAGAAACTCGTTCTTTATCAAAAAATTTCCAACATGCCCGACCACTCAAATTCAATGGTCACTCAAAAATCGGCAGTTGCTGTGGCCTACTAATGGTGCGAAATTCAAATGAAAATTCTTAGAAAAGATTTTCAAAAGAAAATTTTTTTGGAATTTGACCCATGTATGGCTGGATTAATGCAGGCCATGGTGGAATTCCAAATTAATTTTCTTTAGAAAATCGGAATTTTTGTGCATCTTGTAATCCGATGGTGCTACCATTGATTTAAAAATTTGACCAACCAAGCCTTTAATTTCACCTCATGTTGCTACAGAAAAAGAATTATCTTTTCTTTCCAGGTCACAGCTGATGCTCATTTCTTTTTCGACTACATTTCTCACACAATTCTCCCATCATTGATTAGAAATTCGTTAGTTCTTCAAAAAATTTCCAACATGCCGATCACTCAAATTCAATGGTCATTCGAAAATTGTCAGTTGCTGTGGCCTACTAATGGTGCGAAATTTGAATGAAAAGTCTTAG